GCAGACGACCTTCGCTGGATGTTAGTTAAGTGTCTGTGCGTTGTTTTCGTCAGTGCAGTGAAGTATGGCCTTTTAATAAAATTTTGTGTATTTGTAAACTTTGTGCAGGTGAAGAACACGGAATTAAGGTATATTGACACAAGCGGATATGTCGTAATCAAAACGCAGCAAGTTTTCAGTTATGAACTTTAATAGGACATCGATACACGATACAGGAAAAGCCACCGTAAGCGAAGTGGGTATATTGTATTTTGCTGAACTTTATATTTGCAATAGAAATAAGTAGTCATTTCCCGGATGATCAATGTTAAGAGTCAGCTATTTGTTTCAAGTTTGATTTCTAATGTAATTTTAGATGGTAGCAGTACAGGAAATCTATGACGAATTGAAAAGTATTAGGACATATTTAATTAAAATAGGGAGTGACCGGCGCAATAAGGGTGAATGTTTGGTTAGAAAAGTAGAGGAAGCCAAAATAGTATATTTACAATTACAAACAGTTATAACGCACTTTGATAAAGATTTGAATTTGTATACTGAGGAAGAAGTTGAGCAGTTTAAAAAATCCGTAGCTGCCGTTAATAAGGTATACCACGAAATTTTAAGTTTTGTGAAAGAAAAAAGCACCGATTTTCTCAAAATGGCTTTCGATCTCAAAGTAGCTTGCAATCTGTTGCCAATAATGAATGGTAAAGAAGGTGTCACTTTGCAACTTTTAGATGCCATTGAATTATACGATACCATGTTGGATACCAATAATAAAACAAATTTAATCAATTTTGTTTTAAAAACTCGTTTGTCTCCAAGCGCAAAAATTAGGCTGAATCGTACTTATAACTCAGTACAAGCGCTAGTTACAGACATGAAAATACATCTTCTAACTAGGAAATCCGATACGGCCCTACAAACAAAATTAATGCGCACAATTCAAGGTAGTAAATCAATAGACGATTTCGGTAAGGAAATTGAAGATCTCTTTGTAAATTTAACAATATCCCAAGCTAATGGAGATGATAATAATTTTAAGGTACTAAAGCCCGTGAACGAAAAAATTGCCATCAAACAATTTTCAGATGGGTTACGAGATTCGAAACTTAGTACGATAATAACAGCTCGAAATTTTACCAGTTTAAAAGACTGTATTAGATCTGCCATTGATGAAAATGCTACTCGAAGGCATGAAAATGATTCACAGGTCTTATCCATGTCTACTCGTGGCAGAGGATCAAAATTTTATCAGGATAGGAGTCGTGGTCAATTTGAAAGGAATTTCATAATAATATTCCAAACAGTAACTTTAACGTCAATAATCCAAACCGAACACAAAATTTTGGATATTATAACAGTGGTCGATATTTTAACAACAATCGCGGTAATCATTTCAGAAACAATCAATATAGAGGTCGAAATACATACAATCAGATTCCAAATAGGCGAAATACAAACAATCAAAATTTAAACAATCGCACTACAAACAGTCGGCATTCAAATTTCCGTAATCAGGTGAATCATACTGTAGGAGCAAATATGCGGGAACAGTTTTTTCGTGCCCAAGCAAATTAATCAAATCAATGCATATTCAGGAGTAGATTGCATAAAAGTTAATATCAAAGAAAACAAATTAAGGTTCTTAGTGGATACTGGAGCTAGTTTGTCAGCGATAAAGTTACATTGTTTACCTCATGGCACTATAATTCAACAAGATAGAATAAAAATTAGAGGAATAGGAGGTAACATTTTTTCAGAAGGATTTGCATATTTAACTGTAGATATAAAGGGAAACATTTTTCAACAAAAATTTTACGTTTTTAAAAATTTGAATTGTGTAAATGATGGAATTCTTGGTAGAAATTTTATTAAAAAACACAAAGGAAATATTAATTACGCGGAAAAGACAATGACATTGTCAAATTGCCACAGTACAGTAACAGTACCTTTGGAATCAGACCAGAATCACAATATTTTAGTAATTCCACCACGCTGCGAAACAGTTCAGTATTTACCAATAACAACTAATGAAGATTGTGTAGTATTACTGAAACAATTAGGTAAAAATGTGTTTTTAGCAGGAGTTGTTGCGAGACCTCGAAACTCAGAAATACCGGTAAAAATTTTAAATACTAACGAAGAGGAAATTCGATTAAAAACATGGATTCCTGAAACTCACAAATTAAGTGATTATAAGTATTTCAAATTTGATTTAACACAAAATTCAGTCGATAGGGTTAAAGAAGTTCTAGATACTATCAATGCTGATAAATTAAACAAAGAAGAGCGAGATTCTATCACGAAAATTTGTGCTAAATATGCAGATATTTTCCATTTACCGAATGATAAATTGTCAACAACAGATATTTATGAACAATCAATAACTTTGAAAGAAAATACAAAACCAGTTTACGTTAAACCTTATAGAATACCACATGCGCAAAAAACCGAAGTTGACACGCAGATACGTCAAATGTGTGATAATAATATTATTGAACCTACGAAAAGCGAATGGTCATCACCTATTCTCCCAGTACCTAAAAAGGTAGGCGTAAATAATCAAAAGAAATGGAGATTAGTGGTCGACTATCGTCTTTTAAATCAGAAAATTCAGGATGATAAATTTCCACTTCCCAACATAACAGATATTTTTGACTCACTTTCAGGTGCAGTATATTTTTCTCATTTAGATCTTAGTCAAGGATATTATCAAGTAAAACTAGATAAAGATAGTAGACCCTTCACAGCATTTACAACGAGTCAAGGACAGTTTCAGATGAAGAGGCTTCCAATGGGTTTAAAACAAGTCCTAGTTCGTTTTCACGTATAATGACAGTTGCAATGTCAGGTCTAAACTATGAAAGTTGTTTCGTATATTTAGATGATTTAATAGTTTTTGGAAGAAATTTAAACGATCACAATTCTAATTTAATTAAAGTTTTTGAGAGGCTCCGAAAAGTAAATTTAAAGCTCAATCCTAACAAATGCGAATTTTTAAAGAAAGAAATATTATATTTGGGACACATCATAACTTCTGAAGGTATTTTAGCCGATCCAAACAAAATTCAAGTGCTAAAAGAGTATCCCGTTCCGAAAAATTCCGATGAAGTCAAAAGATTCGTAGCTTTTGCAAATTACTATAGGAAATATATACCAAATTTTGCTGAAATTGCCATACCGTTAAATATTTTAAGTAGGAAAAATGTTAACTTTAACTGGACAAAAGAATGTGAAGAATCATTTCGAACTTTGAAAGAATCGTTAATACAACCACCCGTGCTTCAATATCCAAATTTTTCTGAAAATAATCAATTTATTGTTCAAACGGATGCAAGTGGGTTTGCAGTAGGAGCAGTGTTATCGAATAAAAATAGAAAACCAGTTGCTTATGCAAGCAGAAGTTTAAATAAAGCTGAAGTACGATATTCTACTATTGAAAAAGAATTACTCGCCATTGTATGGGCAGTAAAACATTTCCGACCTTACTTATATGGTAAATAGAGATGTACCGACTAGTGTCGGCCGACTAGTCGGCTTTGTCAAAACCGGTTAAAATTGGTTTAATCGACCGAAGATTGGTGTCAAAGTGTAGATAATCTTCCGCTAGTTACGATTCTGAAATCACTGTCACGATATCTGGTCCAATAAACACGCAAAGCGAATTCAAAATTTCCAAAAATTTTCCAAAAAAGTGGTTAAAATTGGTTAAGTAATGTATAAACTGCCCTAAATTGTGTTATTCTTTATTTTTGTACTGAGCTACTACAAAAAATTAAATGTTAAAATTATCCAAACAAATTTAACACATTTTTGGGAAAACAAAGAAACTTTAGTTATTTCTTTTATTAAAATAAAACAAGTTTTTAAGGTAGTCAGAGAAATTGAAAAAAAAAACACACTGTCCGTTGCATTTATAAACCGGTTTTGACAAAGCCGACTAGTCGGCCGACACTAGTCGGTACATCTCTAATGGTAAACATTTCAAAATTTTAACAGATCACCGACCATTAATTTATTTATTCAATATGACAAATCCATCAAGTAGACTCACAAAATTTAGGTTGTGTTTAGAGGAATATGATTTTTTGCACTCATGACCTTTTTTGATAGCTTTCGCGCATTCACCAGAGTGCGGGACGTCGAACTTCCCGCACACGTGCATTTAACTTCCCGTTGCCATGGTCACCTTAAAGTAGCCGGGAAACGGCAACCGCCAACATACAACATCGTGACGTGTTTGCAGCGCTGCCAACGTTGTTTGATGCTGTATATATATATATCACCCAATTAATTTTTTTAATTTTCAAATTTATTCGTTGAAAAAATATTGTACACAACGCGTTAGTTCTGTAGGAACTAAATTTCGGCAGTCCTACAACTTGTGGTGATCAAAGTGTCGAAAGTGTAACCACGTGTAACAATACAACATAACCTAAAATAAACTCAAAGCGTCTTGTGAACTTGACAGAAAAATGTACGACGGGGTAAATCGAAGCGAAGGTGATCAAACAAACCAGCATGCCAAGGAGTCTGTCTGTACCAGATTTCATTACGGGTATGATTTATTGATTAAATATTTTTAAGGTTAAAGACAGAGAAATCAGTGTCCCAAAATGTGGGTGTATTGTTGCGCGTAGGGGTTGGCAATTCAAACAGATTGGGCAGTGTACCAAATTTATTAGAAGAAAATGTCGCTGGTACGGGTGTTGGTTACAATTATCCCTTGTCTGCTACAACTACAACTACTTCTTCAACTACAAATACAAATACAACTAATACAACTAACTTCTTCAGGTGCGAGCCAAAAGTTATATATTGACAACTATAGTCATGTGACCGGCCATAGTTGCGGAGTAATGACATGACCTCCTTAATTTTGATTGAGTCGATACTTAGCAATCGCGGAAAAGGAAATGCAACTCAGCTTGACTTCGGACTCGCTTCCTTCTAACAACGCTTGCACATGCTGCCGCAGCAACCCCAATTAAACAGGATATTTCACAACAGTATTGCAGATATATCAGAATATGACAAACATAAATGCTACAGTTATTGTCATAAATAAAGAAACTTTGGCGTGAAGTGAAAGGCAAGCGACCGTTGTGCTTGTTTGAAACCAATCTCTTCAAAAAAGTGACAGCCCAGATACACTAAGGCCAAACGTTTTGAGAAAATGTTCCCATAACGAAGAAATTGAAAACATATGATCCTTTATATATATAATAGTGCTACAAATCAACGAGATCGCCCTATAGTTTGGCAGTAATGTTGAAGGCAAGTGGGAGAGAATGTCACTTTTAAGTTTTGTTAAATATTTTGTTTTTGGTTCAGGTTATCAGAAAACGTGAATTTTAAAAATATAATCCGTCAGCACGAAACGCCACAAGAGGAATTGGCTGATCTCCCTTTAAAATTAAAAGAAGATTGTTGTAGAATCACCTACTTACAAAAAGTATGTGCATATTTTGCAGTGATCACATAGCAAAATGTCAAGCAACATTTATCAAGAGATGAATCATTAGATCAATCATCATCTAACAGCATAAGTATACTACACTTTGTAGACATGATCTTGTGAAGCCTGGGATGGAAAAGTGGAAAAATGCTGTTATATTTTCACCAGTTCTCTTAAGTTCATGGGGTGTGATGATATTGTAAATAAGACAAAGTTTAGATTTAATGAATTCAACCAAAACAGTAAGTTTATTATATTAAAACATATTAGTTAGTAGATGAAGGAGGAGGGTTTGAATAATTGTTAAATACTCCGATGTTGAAATTGATTGTACAGTTGCTGCAATTTTTAATGGATATTGGTGTAGATGTTTCTTGGGCGTTGATTATTTCATGCTCTACTGCACTTGCGGCCGTAAATCCCAAGGAAGTTACAGGAGTAGATGACGTTGAAGGTAAGCAGTCTTGTTCAGGTATTACTTTTCTCGATAAATCAATTTTGTTTTGTAGCGAGTCCTGAATGTAAGTTTCTGCAACAGCAGAGGATTTCCACCCCCCTAGCTGTTTGATTGCAATCAAACCTTGCCCATGATTAGCCATTGCTGTTGCAGCACTTCTACGGAAGCAGTGGCCCGTGAAGTGTTCTGGATGTAGCAGGTGAAGATATTCAGCTATTCTGGATGGTATTTTACCAATAGTATTGATTCCAACAGGCGATTTTGTGCATTTACCGTTGTGATAAGTGAGGAAAAAACGCGAATCGTTTGTTTTCCTAAGACTGTTGTACTTTTTTATTATATCAATCCACTGTGGGTGAGATACAACGAAGGTTCTAGGAGTGTTTGTTTTTGTCTCCGGCACAGTAACAACAATAATGTCTGTTTTAAATTCTAGATCAGACGGTTTCATGTTGCAGAGCTCCCCCCTTCTGCACATGCCAGAAATGCCGAAAACTAATGCTGCCTGAAATAAAATATTAAGTGTTGTTATAGTAATTTGTTTATTAGTATGTGTCAATCTTACCTTCATCATTAAAAATGTTGAATCAGGCGCTTTTGCAATACATTTCGCTATATGCGCATCTTCTAAAACCGCCGATTTTTTAGGTTGATGCTGCTGAGTTTGTCTTTTTATATACAAAATTAATTTTGAAAATTTTGATATGTCAATATTTTGTTTCAAAATTATGCATGACTTCAGCATAGAATAGACTGACCACAAAGATCTTTTGTGAACTATTTCCTTGAAGTATGCTAATAAAACATTTTCACTACATTTTGCCACCTTGTTTTTATGGCACCAATCTAAAAATTTTTGGTAGGTGCATTCATACCGCCCTTTACTTTTTATTGGTAGTAAATTTTGGGCTGCAGCACTTGCGGCAGCACGTAATTCAGGGGGCGTACAACCAAATTCGTCAGAATCTGACATTTTGCAATTTTTGGTGCTAGATTATTTTAAATTTTAAAGTAGGCTGGTAGTGTCAACGTAGTGACGTGTTTACAGCGCTGCCAACTTGATTGGTTATAAATAATTCTCATAACTCATGTTTTAATTTTAAAAATTTATTCGTTGCAAAAAATATTGTACACAACACGTTTGTGAAAGCTGCTTCCCGCATTCACGCAAATGCGGCACTCCCTGCGGTCGTGCCGCAAACAAGCGTTCATGCGGGAAGCAGGCTTTCCCGAACTAGTTGTGTAAATAACTATTTCATATATTTTAACCTTACAATGTGAACTAACAAAATATGTAGAAGCTTATCCCTTAGAAAACAAAGAAACTATAACTATCGCTAAGGCATTTGTCGAAAATTTTATTTTAAGATATGGAGTTCCTAAAATAATAGCCACTGATCAAGGAACTGAATTTATTTCAAGTACAATGAATGAAGTTTGCAGTTTGCTAAAAATTGATAAAATTCATTCAACAGCATATCATCATGAGAGTATAGGCGCTTTGGAAAATTCACATCAAGTTTTAGGTGCATATTTAAGAACCATGTGTAATAATCAGGCAACAAACTGGAGTTCTTGGATACCTTATTGGTGTTTCAGTTATAATACAACTGTTCATGCTGAAACTCAATACACGCCTTTTGAATTAGTATTTGGTAAGATATGTAGTCTTCCAACGCATTTAACTACATGCGTAGATCCTTTGTATAATTTTAATAGTTATCCATTAGAATTGAAGTTTAGGTTACAACAAGCTCATTTAGATGCTAGGAATAATTTAATTACAAATAAAATTAAAAGGAAACAGGTGTATGATAAGAATGTTAGGTCAGCAAAATATGAGAAAGACGATTTAATTTTAATCAAAAAAGAAACAGGTAATAAATTTAGTGTGATTTTTGAAGGACCTTTTAAAGTGACAAAAGACCTATCGCCCAATGTTGAAGTGTTAAAGGACAATAAGAAGTTAGTTGTACATAAAAACAGAACTAAGCGGTATTATAATTAGAATAAGTAATTCTTTTGTGACATTGACATTAGATATCTTAACCTACATAATTGTTTACGAGTGTATTGTTTCTTGCTGATGCATATAACATGTGTTGAAACTAAATCTTGTAACTATTAACCTAGTAGTAAAATTACATGTAATACGAACATATAAACAAAAAAAAAAGTGTGTATTTACAAACATTTTTTTTTTAAGAAATCCCGGAAGGTGTAGTGGAGTAATTAATAAGTAATGTGTGAAAGAGAGAGTGAATGATTAGAGTAGGGATTAATGTAGATGTAAGCAATAATGTATGTAATAAGACTAATAAGAAATGTATTAAGTAGGGAGTAAGAAGTTAGTAAGTAAGCAGTAAGTGTCTAGGCAACCAAGCGGTGTAAGAGAGAAGAATAATAAAGATATGTAGTAGTTAAGTGGTGAGTTTCAATAGTGCGTAACCTGGCTAAGCTGCCTACCCCCGGCAAGCACTACAATCTACCTAGCGCATCTCGAACGGTGGACTTCCTCAATTCGCTCATCACTCTTTTGAACTGTGCTGTTAAGTTCGTTAAACGTGTTCTCAGCTTAATAAAGTGAGGTAGAAAATTTAATTAGGAAGAGACCATTGGGCCAAGGTATTTGACTTGGGTTGAATACTTGATTACCTGGTCGTTGAGTTTTATCCGTGGCGATCTTGTGGGAGGCATAATTCCTTTCAGGAGCATACATTCCGTTTTCGTCATTAACACCGTCAGCCCTGTCCTATACGCGAAGGTTCCTACAATCTGCATCATTGATGTTCCATTTTTTTCGATGCTCCTTCTGGTGTCGCCTTCGATAAAAATCATGAAATCGTCAGCCTAGGCCACAAACTTTACTTCGGGATCCTCTAATGAGACAAATAGATCATTCATGACCAAAACCAAACACCTTACGTTTATCTTGCTATCTCGGGCCTTAACCTGGTCTAATTTACGAAATATAGATTTCCACGTAATGTTATCAAAGGCACCCACGAAATCGATAAAGATCCCTAGAATATATTTAGAGTCTGATCTTTCAACATTGTCCATCATGTCCAGTCAGGCATCTTGTGTAGATTTACCAGCGGTGAATCCATATTGCTTTGCTGATACGCGGTCGTTACTTTGGATATCCTCGGCTAGCCTCTCGACCATCAACCTTTCCAGCAGTTTCGACCATGTAGGTAGAAGACAAATCTGTCTACTACCTACATGTTTGTAGGATCTGGGCTGTGTTTTGGGTTTGTCCGGGGATTTTAATAATATGATCGCTTTAGCTGTCTTCCACTGTTCCGGGAAGACCCCATCCAGGAAACATTTGTTTAAGATAGCGACAATAAACTCTGGAACCATACTAAAAATCTTTTTGACCATCGTCCCTGTGAGGCCATTGAACCCTGGAGCTTTTCGACCCTTCATTCTACGCAAGAAATTAACGATCTCTTCGTGGGTTACTTCGTAACTGGCTTCGTCTCCGTCTTCATTCGTACCTGTCTCTATATTATGTGGCAATTCTACAACCGGGCCAAAGAATGTTTGTATCAGGGCAAATCTGTCGGACCTCTTTTACCCCTTAGGAATTTATATACGCCGCCCCATGAGTCCATCTTGTTTCTGGTCTGGGAAGACACGTAGTTTTGCCAGTGAGTTCTCTTGGCCTCTGACACTTTTCTTATATCTTCGGTTCTCTGCCTTCCATTTTTCCCTGGCCTCTGTGAGTATTCTGTTATCATCTACGCCCTCGACACTAGCGTTATGACTACGTTTTAACAGGTGGTATTCTTTACGTAGTCTGCGTACATGTCTTTTCATTAAGGTAAGCTCAAGGGTCCACCATTTTGCATTGTTCTTTACTGACGTCTGGACCCAGGTCGTTTACTGAGAGATCTCGAGCCATCCATTTAGCGTGTTAATCATGTCCCCTAACGGGAGACTTCTAAATTGTTCGGGGGAACAGGCACATTTATTGATATTGAATTGTTCCCAGTCCATAACCATCCTAAAGTTTTCAAACTTGGACTATTCAGAGGAAACCTCAAATGAGTGTGGGATAAGGTCGATTTGTATGCGTTGTGATCGCTGATTCCCATGCCTGCACGTATTTCCCACCTGAAAGAGAAGTCACGATCTAATCTCGACCCAGCTAGCGTCACATCAATATCACTTGAGCCCGTAGGCCCTGAAAATGTATAAAAATCGGAGGGTGAATTGATAATAAGAAAGTTATTATGTGTTATATATTCAGTCAGGGTAGCCCCTCTAAGCTCTCTATTTCGGCCTGCAGTTATATTTTTACAATGCCAAAACCTGGATGTGGCGTTGGCATCGGCCTCTAGCAAAAACAAGTAATTCTCAAAGCCTGATATTCCCCTATTTATCTTGTATATGCTCATCTCGATATCCACATCAATCTGGCAATATATACTGCTCACCCCGAAAGTGTACGATTTATAGGTTAGGATCGCAAAGACAGCATCTTCATCTTACCCTTACAACTACGTCTATATTATCATTGGGAACCGCTATAGTCCCCCTAGGGTTATCACCAACATAAAAAACTTTAACATTGCCCAATCCCGCTACCTTACCATTAACCACATGGTTCTTGGAGGATCCAGACATCATCCACCCCTTCAGACATCGTCTTAACCGTGTCACCCATCACTGCGACACTTCGTTGGCAGTTTTGTCTGCATTATTTTTAATCGAAATGTAGATCTATTATAATAATTATTATTAGACATAGCTCTTAGTACGAATACCTGACCTTTTTTTTCAATTTCCAAACGTTTTTGGTACAAGGGACACTCTTGGTCATTAGCTCCGTGTCTAACATTATCTAGGCCCAAATACCATTTGCAATTTGGGCAGCTTTTCTCTTCTGCTGTACACTCCGACAATACGTGGTCTCCCGAACACTTAGGGCATAGATTGCCATTTCTGTCCGCACAATAGTTTTGTACATGCCCAATTGTGAGCATTTATGGCACAGCAATTCGAAGATGCTCCTCCACGAAAATCGACAGCAGATCTAGGATAATTTTACCACCTAGGCTCATTATGATTTTATATATCTGAGGCTTCGTCTGTATCAAGCTATTTTCTTTGTTTTTATTCCTGCAGCCTCTTTTTGTGAGTATCTTGACGCTTTCAGCCCATACGGTCTCTGACACTATTTCATGAAAGCGTTCTCATTGTATAACTCGGTCAGCAATTCCTTATCATTGTAACCTTTCTCTATTCCACTGAGTTGAAGAACTGGGTCAGAGTTCCGGATCTCCTTATATGTTATTCTCTTATCCTTGCTTAAGATATTTCTAATTTTCTTTCTCTGTTGGTCAAGAGTATGATTCGATAAGGATGCCTCCTGTTTTCAAAGGTATGATTGCTTTAGTCGGTCCACCAATCTCTTTCACGCTTAGTGTTTCTTTCAAAACCTTTTTGATTGTTTTCCTAACAGGAGTAGGGCTTGTGTTCACATCAATATCATGGTTTTCAGTTTCTTCCCTGGGCAAGGTGACTATGGAGGCGTATCGAGTTCTTCTGGGCCGGTTATCTTCTTTGTTGGCTGTGGTATTGGTTGTGCTCTTATCTGTGATCGAAGTCTTTTATTTTCGTTACGTAGGGTATTGACGGTCTT